TATTATTTTTGGGGTGCAGGAGGAGACGAGCATGGTCACCTTATGGCTGCTGCTGTGTTGCAATATTTTCAGGGAGAGCTTATTATTTTTGGGGTGCAGGAGGAGACGAGCATGGTCACCTTATGGCTGCTGCAGTGTTGCAATATTTTCGGGGAAGGGCTTATTTTAGCGCATGCGCTCAAAAGCCCGATTGGGCTTATTATCCGGGGAGGTCTTATTTTCGGGGAAACAGGATATGTGTATATCTGTAGCATATACAATACTTATATTCGTATGCAAGAAAGTAAAGGAAGTCCCTGACTTACAGCGGTTCATTCAAGTGACTCTTCAAAGTCACAGTGGCCCCGAAAAATTGGATCCGTGGTCGTTTTCCACACTTACGTCCCACGATGAAAATTCAGGGGCTTGACGATTAACTCCTCTTTACGATGGTTGCTGTGTCCTGGGAGCTTGCCGTCCTCTTTTGCGACCTCAAGGGGGGGGACACCAGATTCACTTAACAACCGGTTTTAAGAACTGCCGCGATTCACTTAAGAAACGTGGCGAGAAATGTTGTAAAGCAGACTGAGCAACATACATTTTGGCGGCTCAATGGTGGCCGTACGTTGAGGACTTCCTGTACTTGCTTTAACCCGCGCTGCTAATTTTAACCTTTGACTTTAACGGTTTCTGCGCTTCTCTTCGCCGTTTAATCATTTCGTATGGTTAATTATGGCGTCGTAAATCGCCCTGGATTCGCTCCCTAGCGCAGGGGGGGGGTGGCTGGCTTATAAATTTAATAAATAAAACGAACGACTGAGTGAACGAATGATCTGTCGATTGTCCTTTTGGAAGGCTCAATCCTTTAAAAACTCCTGCTCGGCGCATCCCGGCGCCCCTTTATATGGCATTAACCATATATTGATTTTTAATTCAATCTGCGCCCAGGGAATAAAAGTGCACACAGCACACAGCAGAATGGAAGTGCCTGGGTAAGTTACGATCAAGCTGCCATGTCACGTTGCCGGAAAGCTGTTAAGCACTCCAGTTCATTGTGTCTGAACCTCACCCTTAAGTGCCATTTGTCCTTTAGGCAGTTGGATAAAAGCACCCGTCTCGGTGACAATAATTCACCCAAACTCATAAGATTTGTATACCGAGATCAGGAGAGAAAAAAACTCACATTGTTGGCCGTACATTAGGGACACGGCTCAGGAGACACTGATGGTGTCACGAGTTTGCAGCGGCCTTCCAGATTAAACCCGTAGCTACCTACCCCTGGTTGTGAAAGCGAAAACAACCGACAATAAGACAGTCGACTCGTTCGAGCCGGGATGCTGGAGAAGGCTATTGTTTGGATAGCAAAGGGGACAAACAAGCAAGCATTGGAGCGCATAACACCGGAAGTGTCACTGGGAAGCGAAATCACAAAACTGCGTCCCATTTACTTTGGCCGTGTTCGTGCGGGGGAACTCACCGGAGAAAGTAATTATATTGGGGAGAGTTAGCGGTCAAAGAACAGGGCGGCTAGACGCCATCAAAGCTGACACTAGCCGGAGCGTAGAACAACTCGACAAAATGGGAAGATGCGGCAAGATTTGGCCCGTAGAATCGCCGTTCATTCGGACACCATCGAACGGATCACATCCTCATTAAAATGGATTACCTCCCATAGACCGATTAGATCACACAGGTTAGGCCTTCCCCGGATTCCATCTGCCAGCCAATGTCGGCTGGCGACTCCCCGGGGGAGAGCCTTCTCTGTCGCAGCTCCGGCCCTCTGGAACGACCTCCCCGTGGAGATCCGGACCCCTACTCCCCCCCCGGCCTTCTGCAAAGCCGTTAAGTCCTGGCTGCTCCAGCAGGCCGGGGGGGGGGCTTTCGAAATATCCAGCCCCACGGAAACTGTGACTGTTGTATATTTTAAAGTGTTGTTTTGTTTATTTATCCCCTTNCTCTCTCTCTCTCCCTTTATCTACCTACCTACCTACCTACCTACCTAACTAACTAACTAACTAACTAACTAACTAACTAACTAACTACTCTCTCTCTACCTACCTACCTACTGTATTTCTTTCTTTCTCTCCCTCTCTATCCCTCTATCTACCTACCTACTTTTTAAAAAAAAATTGCCTCTTCAAAACCCTGGTGCATCTTATACTCTGGTGCGTCTTATACTCCGAAAAATATGGTACCTGCAAAAATGAGTCCTTACATTTAAAGAGCACCTGTCATTTCAGATCCATCATGGCAGCGCCTGATAGTGGACATTCACTCACCTGCTGCCCACCACATCCCTCACCTTGTTGTGTCACTGCCGTATCACCAGCCGTCCTATCAAAGTGAATGGAATTGTTGGTGAGTTGACAGTAGGTCAGAGGAGGAGCTTTCTGCGGGACCAAGATGACAGTTGCTCTTTAAAATTATGATTTAAATCAAGTTGATTTAAATCAAGCCTTTTTACTAATGATTTAAATCATGAATTAAATCAAATCCACCCTCTATTGTTATATATTTACCCACCAACTATTATTTCCAGGAGAAATAATTATTTTCCCAAGGAGACCTTCCTGAGCACTGCCACCATTAGTGAAGCCCTGACCAGTTGCAATTGAAGTTTTTAACTCTTTATTATATAAGTCATCACTACTCCTTTATAGATGATTTTGCTGTATATTACATCTATACTATACCTTTAGACCAGTGTTTCTCAACATTGGCAACTTGAAGATGTCTGAATGCTGGCTGGGGAATTCTGGGAGTTGAAGTCCGGACATTTTCAAGTTGCCAAGGTTGAGAAACACTGCTTTAGGCACAATATTAATTTTAAACATCTACTTACAGACATATTAAAGATAAAATTATTTTATTTTATATTTCATGTTAGCTATTCTTGTTATTTTGTTATAAAATTTATAATTTTACTTAAATTACAAAAATGTTCATTATATTCATTCTTGACTTTTAAATTTTGAACGTTTAATTGCCTTGATATTATAATTTGTATTATGTAATTTTAGTCAATTCTTATAGTACATATGTTATTATTTCAATGGGAAATAATTTTTTAAACTATTTTTTAAATCTTTGTTTTGCTGCTTGATGACAGAAATAAGGATGCTTGACTATAAACAGTCAAGAATCTAAATGGCTTTGGGCACACAAAAGAAAATGCATATAAGTTGTCAAATTTTTATATTTTACCGACAAAGAAAAATGCAAAACAAAAATAGTTTGTTGTGAAAGTGACTGCCTGTCTCTTGGATTGGGGCTGAAAGGCGAAAGTGAAAGCAATATTCTCCGTTCCATATTTGGGTAGACAGGTTGCCCTGATAGATCGGTCCCACTGGAAAACACATAAGTTGTCAAACTTAGTTTTTACAAAAATTCACATAATATCTAAAACTATTTATGTTTCTTTCCATAATAAGTTCCAAATGAAGTCCATTTTAGTACTGTGCTCTGATGCTATGTGAAAATGATTTTATTTTAATTGCTTTATTATTAAGTTCTTGTGAATGTTTTTGCTAGTTACAGCAGCACAAGGCTGCAGGCCAGCCAGGTACACAAGGTGCACACCAACCAGGCCTGGTCTGCAACAAGGGATAATTGCATGCACTAGGTCATGTACCCAGGGAGCTTGTCTCATCCTCTCTATCTGTTGGAGAGTGGCCATATTAAAACTTCTTCCTTAAATGTGTAGGATTATCAAAATGCCTTACAGATATAACCCAGCACAAAATGTTCTGGACAGACTGTAATGATTTTTATGATATTTAGGAGGAGCATTGCATTGGTGAGGTAGAGTAAATAAGTCTACAGTCATGTTACAATAATTCCTGAAAAGAGTGCAGTTGTAATTGTTATATTTTTAGTTTCTATTATTATTGTTATTATTGCCTTGTTAGGGTACTTTAATAAATGAATATAGTGGGAAGGTTGCTGAGTTCGATATGATGTGACTGCACCACAGATGTTGAGCGTTTATTATGATCACATGTTGGCTATTCTTTGGTGGCATGTAACGGATTAAATTCCTCTGGGTACTAAACCACGCAATTGAGGTCAGAGAGGGAGTAGCCGTGGAGCATCTGATGGCTGGGATTGCTTGGTTAGTGGCCTAAATTCTTATCTCTCTCTGTCCTGTGTATCCTCTGTCAGGTGGAGACTTTTCTTTTAAGTCTTTTGCTGTTACTGTTTGGCACAGTAGACTGTCATTCTGAAAGACTGAGTGACCTTCTTATTCCCCATTTTTTTCTCTGTGGAAATATGTTGTTTTGTATTCCCATTTGGTTGCAGAGAAGCCAGTGCACAGTACATTCCCAGAATGAACAGGCAGGCACACGAACAGTAAAAAAAAAAAAATCTGCAGTGACTGTGGCTGAACTGAAAGGAAAAAAAGTCCTCCTCTCCTCTTCCCTTCTTATAGCCAAATGCTACCATTCAGATCAGCGCAGGCTGTCGAATCAACAGCATGGCTGCCAACAGCAGCAGAGGTAAGAGAGAAATGTAGCGGATGAGTTAGTAAAAGCAGCATCAGAGCAAGAACTGAAGCGTCTTCCAACCTTGCGAGCGTTTCTATAGTCTTTTGCATCTCACGTAGATGCACATTTGCTTCTCTTATGCAAAGGGACAAGTGGGGAGATGGGGGAAGGAAAATGGAGGGATCTGCTACTGAAAGGAGAACCAAAGCTGCTTGTGATGCCAAAGGAAAAATGCTCAATATGCAAAAGCATCTGTTCTTCTTCCTTTTTTTGACAATAATGGGTAGATATGGGGAACAGTGGATAAGCAAGGAATCAGTTCTTCATCACTGGCTTCACATAAACACAATTGAAATTGGAAAATTCTGGAAAACCTAGCTACCAGGACTTCGGCTGTGATTTCCTAAGGGGATGCTGAACGGAAGAGGGGTGGTGGCTTGATTAAACTGACTTTGTTTCTTTCTCTTTCTATTCACAGCTGTCCCTCCAAAACTCAAGAAACTGAAGAGCCTAAATGTAGAAGTTGGAGCAAAGGTTTCTTTGAAATGTGAGGCCAGCGCTGGAAATCCTCAGCCATCCTACAAATGGTTCAAAGATGGCAAAGAAATTAAAAAGAGCAAAGATATCAGAATAAAATATGGGAATGGAAAGTAAGTAAAAACAGGTGCTTTTTAATCTTCAAATTATAAGCAAATGTATTATCATAGATAAATATTCTTAATTATTATTGGTATAGTCATAAAAATGACTGAATGGTCAATTTCTAAGTAAAGTGATATTTATAATCCTAATCCAAAATAGTTATGATTCTTGTTTCTGAGCAAGATGTGTTCATAATATTCTCAGAGGATTTATTAATTTCAGTATTCTTGAAGGAAACATTTATCTAAGCCACATTTTAACTGGAGAGCACTAGGTGGGAGAAGGCTGTTCTGAGGTAAAACCTGTGTTACAAAATGGGAAAACCAACAATTTCATTTTGTCAACTGCCTAGAGCAGAATCCTAGAGAATTCTGGGAGTTGACTTCCACACAGCTTTAAGTTGCTGAGGTTGGGAAGCACTGTTAGAAAGCAAGAAAGCTCAACTATTTTTGCTTTAATATTTTGTTGAATCATACATGGGTAAAAGAGACAGACAGACTGCCAATTTATTAGCAGTAGGAGTGATGGCATGCTCCTCCTCAGTTTGTCCTCTGGGTAGGCCATATGTTCTATCTTAAATTTTGGTGTAATGAAGGCAGAGCCAGATAGCCTGAACTGGTTATCCATGTAGGTTTTGCACAGGCCTAGAAATCACTTAGATAATGGGTCCTCAAACTATGGCCCCAGGGCCACATGAGAATCACCGAAGCCATTAATCCGGCCCGCGCAGGATCATGAGGCTGCCTTGCCCACATCCCATCCACCCTTCGGCCAAGTGCAGGTCTTACCTTCACGAGCCCCATGGGCTGGAACTGAAAAGTAAGATCAACAATTTTGGCCTGCAGAGACATTTTGGAGGCGGGGGAGGTGAAAAACAGGCAACCCCAACCCATTTTTTGCCAAAAAACTGAGCCATTTTTGCCTGTTTTTGGCCTGCAGAATACTTCTGGAGATGGGAAAAAGTAAAATGTGGGGCACAAAGATGCCCCACGAGGCCAAAAACATGTATGTATGTATGTATGTATGTATGTATGTATGTATATCAGTAGATGGGAATGTGAAAGTAGATACTTGAATAAATACTATTAATTTTGAATGCAATTTAAACAATGTTGGGAATTTAAAATGTTAATGCTTGGGGAAGGGGAATTCATGAGATATTTTCTGGGACAAAAAATAGGGTAAATAACTGGAAAAACTGGAAAAAAGGTGAAATACAGGGCGTACCGTGATGTTAACTATGCATAAAAATTGAATGATAAAGAAATGTAAAGAGAATAATACTGTGAAAGTTGGAATAACAAATCTATAGTTAAAAATGGTTAATTTGTAAAGATGAATTAATAGTAATTAGTTGAAGACAAAAAGAAAAGGGTGTTTAGTAATGATATGTAAACTTAAATAAATTAATGGAAAAAGATAAAGGATTATACAAAAAAGATGAATAGTGATAAAAGTGGGAAGATTAGAATATATTGAAACTATGATTATAAATATGATGCATAAGATGTGACGTGGACCACACTCTGTTCATAAAGTATGTATGCGGGGGGGGGGGGGGGGAGGATTGCAATAAAAAGAATTCTCTATAATGCTGAACATTTGGCTTCTCAGATCAAGCCAGGGCATTGTAGTTGGTAAAAGTTAACAAGAAAAACAAGGCCAGCAAGCCAGGGTAGAGTAGAGACAGTTCCATGGATGTTGATACATTGTTCAGGACTTGGCTTCATGCAGTCAATATTTTGACTGTAGCTCAAGTAAGTTCATTGGCCAAGTTTGGTGGGAGAGAATTTCACTGAATGTAGTTCAAGATACTAGCTTTAACATGGCTCAAAGTGAATTTGTGCTCCTAATGGAAAAACCACAAACTGTTTTAGATTTTAAATCAACAGAATAGAATGAAACCTGCAGAGATAGATAACAAACATCTCAGAATGAATTAAAACATCTAGTTTCAGAAAAATATGTGGATAACCTTCCTAGATTTTTCTTTTTTTTAAAAAACCTGTAAGTGTATAATTCATTTCTGCATATAGATACAATTATTCACATAGTTTTCTTTTAGATAGATCTGAAACTGGCAATTAAAAAAAATGTGAGTAGAATTTTGGATGGTTTTGGACAGAATTAAAAGGCCTTTTTTACAGAGCATTATTTAAGCTTAAATTCTGATTTGGATCTGGATCATAAAATCTCCCAGTGATTTCCTACAGTGATTTGGAATTTTGGATTTCTTACAAGGAGAGTGATTGGAAAGCTTCTGAGGGTCTGTCCCTTGTGATTAAAGGGAAACCTTCTTGTATATCTTTGCTTCCTGTTCTCCCCAACTTGCATTTTGGGGGGAAATTTAAATAATTTTTCAGTATTTGCCATTTTGCAGTGCTCCAAAATGTCAGATTATTCAAAGCTTCTTCTTCCGTTTAAATACTCTGTATCTGCAGTTTTCACCCTTTTCCTTATTATGGGCCATGGCTTCACCATCAAAACTTTTGCAGACCATCATATAAGTGAGGGGTAGCTAATAGGCTACCCACAGACCCCATGATTGCTCCAGAAAACATATTCAGCACCCTCCAATTTGTTTTAAAAATCAAGGCTAATGTCATGATATTTTCAAATTTCATAATCTGACAGTGTTATAATCTTAAATCTTGGAAGGAAAAACTGAATTTTTTTGAGATTTGGTTGCTTACTAAACTTTCATCTATTTTTAAGTCCATTTATAAAGAAGAGCAGTTAGTGAAGTGGTTATTTCTCTGGGCCAAAGCTGAAATGCAAATGAAATAGATGTCCTTTGTGTTCAACATTGGGATTTTTATTTCTTCATTTAAATATTTGGTTATGGTTATGGGCAAAAAAGATTTGTCTAATTGTTTATATCTATCTATATATATATATATAAACACAAAAACACTCATGGAGGAGTCATGAAATCTCTAGAACCGTAAGGCCTACAAACTTGAAATTTGGCACTTATGTTTCTCTTGGCTTGTAGGTGCTCGGTGACAAAGGATTTTTTGAAAGGACAATCAGAGCATTACTATTTTGTATATTATTATTAACATGCTCTGATGCTAAGGAGTTAGATATTCTACTCCCCCTCCCAACCTGAAAACCTGGACATGGACATGGCCAGCGCATGACTCATCCAGCCTACTGGCTGGGAATTTGGAGAAGACCCTGAGGGAGAGAAGGTGATATGATAGGTGGGGCTTCTGTGGGGCAAACCTGAGAGAGAGAAGGGGATAGGATAGGTGGGGCTTCTGTGGAGCAAGCCTGAGGGAGACAAGGGGATAGGATAGGGGAGGTTTCTGTGGGGCAAGCCTGAGGGAGAGAAGGTGATAAAATAGGAGAGGGTTTGTGGGGCAAGCCTGAGGGGAGAAGGGGATGGAATAGGGGAGGTTTCTGTGGGGTCAGGCTGAGGGAGTGAAGGGGATAGAATAGGGGAGGGTTTGTGGGGCAAGCTTGGGGGAGAGAAGGGGAGAGGAGAGGTCGATGCTAACTACTCATTAATTTCCAAACTGTGTCAATTTATCAAGCCCGATCACATAGTTTCATAGCAAAGCATGGGTATTCAGCTAGTCAATAATATTAAAGTGAAAGCTAGTAAAATCTAGCAACACTTGAAACTTTAAGTTTCTAGCTCTTCAGTGATTGTAAAACTTTTCTATACAAATTTAAAAATTTCCATACTGAAATGCTATTTAACTTACTTTAATTTCCAAGGGGGAAAGAGTGATACAGTATAAATATAATACAATATTAATATTGCATCCCTAAAAGAAATGATTTTCACTCATAGATTTGCTAATCAAATATTATATTTCATCTGCCTTCCTCTTTTCTCCTGCTCCAAATCTGCAAAGTAATTGATTGCTCCCAAAGCTCTTCTCATTATTTTTGAATGGAAAGTTGAGTTCATTTTGTCCTTCAGATAACAGGTTTTGAATAAACTGAAAGTGGATATAAGAGTGACATGGCAAGGCAAGGCAATGGAGAAACCACATTGTAGTATGGTTACAAAGCTGTAATTAAAAAAAGCAAATATAGTTCTGGAATAAGGACTCCTATCTCCAACAGTTGTTTGGAATACAAGACCATTACGGTCTCTTCCAGCCCTATGATTATATGAAATTCTCTTGTTTTCTCTATCTTATGTTAGCTGTTTAATTTTGTGTTATACATTGTAACCAGTAAAGATTTGTTGCTATTTTAAATTAACTGGGTCTCTATGTATTCTAAAGAACCAGTTGTCCCTCTGTTCAGTTAAAAGATTTGACTATGGCTACTTTCCAGGGCTGTGACCATACGCTGAACCTGGGCACACCTGTGTAATTTCAGGAAATTTCTCCTTAGTTCAGATTGGATCTCTCTTTAACGAGCTTCTACCCATTGCTTCTTGTCCTGCTCTCAGGTGCTTTGGAGAATAAGTACACCCTCTCTTCCCTGTGAGAGGCCCTCAAGTACTGGAAGACAGCCATCATGTCATCCCTAATTCTTGTTTTCATTAAGCTAGACATACTTAGTTTTCTTAATCATTCATCACAGGGCTTAGCCTCTAGAACCCTTGTCATCATTGTTGTCCTTCTCTACATACTTTCTAGGATCTCAGCATCTTTTTTGTAGTATGGGAACCAGAGATGGATGCAGTATTCTAGGTATGGCCTCAGCAGTGCAATATAGAACAGCACTAATACTTCTTATAATTCTTATGCTATCCCTCTTTGATGCAGCCTACAGCTACATTGACCTTTTTGGCAGCTGCAGTATACTGCTGGCTCATACTTTAGTGATGTCCACTATGAGACTAAGATCCCCCTCATGGTTACTGTTGCACCAGGTACTGCCTATTCTATATCTCTGCATTTGATGTTTCCTGTCTAGGTGCAGGACCTTGCTTTTCTCACCATTGAATTACATCTTGTTGGATAGGGCACAATGCCCAATTCTGTCAAAATCATTCTGAATCATGAGTCTATCTTCCAAAGTGTTGGAAATTCCCTCCGGTTTGGTATCATCTGCAAATTTGATGAGTTCCCCTTCTATCTTCTCAACTAGGTCATTTATGAAATTTTGAAAAGCACTGGGCTAAGACGGAATCTTGAGGTACCCCACCGCATATTTCCCTCCATGAAGATGTAGTTCACATAGAGTGTAGTTGGTCAGCCAATTGTGAATCCATCTGGTGGTGGTACTGTCTATCCCACATTGGTCTACCTTATCAATTAGTAGGCTGTGGTCTACTTTGTCAAATGCTTTACTGAAGTCCTAGTAACTATATCCCCAATATTTCCAGATCATGTAATTTAGCTAGTTTATCAAAGAAGGAAATGAGGTTTGTCTGGCATGATCTGTTTTAATGAACTCATTTGTTCATTTATAAACATTCACAAATTGCTGCTTGATTATCTTTACCAGGATTTCCTCAGGTATTGATGTCAAGATTGGTCTGTAGTTTCCTGGATCCACTTTTTATCTGTTCTTGAAGATTGGAACCACACCAGCCTTTTTCCAGTCCTCTGGCAATTCCCCCATGTTCCAGGAGCTCTGAAAGATTTTGTTCATGGGTTCCCAGATCATATCCTCAAACTTTTTCAGTACCCTGGGATATAAACCATCTGGTTCTGGTGATTTGATGTTGTCAAGTGGATAGGTGTTTTTAATCAATTTCTTACCTATTTTGACATGCATCCTGTTCAATCTCCCACTGTGCTACTTTTGAAGAGTTCAGCTATTTTTTTCTTTTTGCATAAACACAGATGTAAACAACTTTTAATTCCTTCCCCAACTCCACTTTCTCTCTTTTGCCCATCATCTTCTTGCCATAGTCTCCCACTAGTGGACTGATCATTTCCTTGAGTTTTTTTCTTGTTCCTTACATATTGAAAAATCTTTTTGGGGGGTGGGTGGGTATTTTTGAGCATTTGTTGCATATTTTAATTCATTCTGAGACTTCCTGATTCTATTGTTGGTATTCTGTTTTAGTTAATATACCCCTTTTTTCTATTTTTTATATTTGTCCTTGTCCCTCAGTTTGTCAGAAAGCTATGCTAGTCTTGTCTGGTACCTTTTCTTTTTCTGTGTTACTGTTTTTGCTTGGGCCTTTAGTATTTCATTTTTCAGAGTTTCCCATGTGTCCTAAAGTGCTTTTCCCTCGAGGTTTTCCATCATGGAATACTTCCTAATCCTTCTCTTAGTTTGTTGAAGATAAGTTCTCTTAAAGTCTAAAACGCTAGTTAGATTTTGTTCAGTTGCCTCTGCCTGCATTACGGTGAATTCTAATATGACATGATAACTTTCCCCCCATAACCTCTACTCCCTCAATTATTTCATCCCTATTTGTTAGGATTAAGCCCATTATAGCTGATCCTCTAGTTCTCATCTCCACCTTTTGGGAAACAAAGTTCTCAGCTCGCCACATCAGAACCTATTTGATTTCCCTCTCGCTGCTACTATGCTGTCATAGTAGTTAAAGTCCCTCCTTTCTACAGTGGTGTGTTTCCTGCACACTGGCTTACTGATTATCAAAGAGTTCATCTATTTCCTCCACTTAGTTAGATGGTCTGCAGTATACTCCAATGGTAATGCCATTTATTTTTCCTCTGATATTTACCCAAATGTTTTCAAGAAGGCTTTCATCTCTTGTAATGTGCATTTCTGTTGATGTGCATAATTATTTACATATAATGCAATTCCTTCTCCCCTTTTTGAGATTGTTCTGTTACTTCTGTACAATTTTTATTCTTCTAGCAGTATGTTCCAGTCATGGGCTTCATCCCACCAAGTTTCAGTAAACAAGGGCTATCTATACAGACCTTCAACATGAACCTTAAATATAGAGTAGGATAATTACATAGAGACCAACATCTCTATTTCTGCTAATGATTGTGCAGATTGCATAGTCTAAATATAGTAGGCCTAAGAGGTGGATGATACAACATAAGTTTACTTTTCTTGAGTTGCAACATGTACAGTTCCTATAATCTTCAGGATCCTCTCTATGATGGTGGATGGAAAAGAAGATATCACCCACTCAAAGCAATGTACCCCACCCCCACCACTTTGGGTGCTTCCTAGCATACCTTGTTTGAAAGGGAGAATGTAGGATATAGCGGCTGGCAGACCTGTTTCCAAATTCCAATGATCCTTGTGATCAGACTACAGTGCTTTGACCATCAAAATCTTGTGAGGGTGGTAGTGAAAGTACCGGAGAAACTTATATTCAGTCACTCACATTTGTTGCCAATAAATCATCATTAGATATTGGAATTAAAAAACATGTGGATTTACTTCCTGACTTTTATAGAAAAGTTATCTCTGTTACTTCTCCCCATCGTCTGTTTCTGACCGTCATTTCCAAATCATTAACAAGCACTGTTATTACTTGTTATAACCCTTTCTCTTTGTAGTAAAACCTTATAATTTTCCTAAAAGAATCTTCACTAGAGAACATATTTAAGTTTGTAAAAGGCTATTTAAGGTAAATTGTTAATTCCACCTAATGTCATTATCAAAGTAATATAATAACCAAGCCTTTCTTTTTTTTCCAGGAAAATATCTAGACTTCAGTTCAGTAAGGTGAAAGTTGAAGATACAGGAGAATACGGTTGTGAAGCAGAGAATGTTCTGGGAACAGACATTGCCACAGGCAGTCTCATAGTCAGAGGTGGTAAGTTATATTATATTATTGAATCAAAATGATATATTTAATTTCAACTGGCTTTTACAATTGGTTGTAGAAGAAGAACCACATATAACAGTGATGGCTAACCTTTCCTGGATTGATTGCCCAAAGCATGTGCGCGCCTGAATATGTGCATGCATGCCTGAACCCCCAAAATGGAATGCTTGTGTGGCCTCCGTGCATGCACCCTGCCCCCGCCTATGCCCTTCCCCCGCATGCGCCCCCGCCTTCGTCATGGTACATTTACTCTCAGGGCAGCCCTTGCCTCCCGCCGCTTCGGGCTCAGAGCTGTAAGCCACGTCTGGGAAGCACTGCAGTGGAGAGAAGCAGACGAGTCTGATTCTCCAGCACCTCATCTCTTGCTGGGTCTTTCTGCCTGAATGTCAGGTTTTTAAAAAGATTTTTCAACAGGAAATGGCAGGCAGCTACTTCCAGCCTTTGTTGATGCAGTTGGGCATGCATGCTTCAGTCACTCGGGGAAACTCACGACTGGGTTGAGCGTGCGAGGTTCGGCGGGGACAGCTCCCTTTTCCCACTGCCCTGAACCTCTTAAAGCCATGGATGGGCATGGAAATCCCCTTTTCCGACGTACTCTCCTCCTGGATCCCATTCCCACCCACCAGCCCTCATGTTAGCGAGGCCAGCATCCAGTGTCTCTGGAGAGAGCAGGTTGCGCGTCTTCCTAAGCAACTGAGGCATGCCCAGCACCAACAAGGCCTGGAAGAAGCTCCACAAGAGTGAGGCACCAGAGAATCAGGCGCAGCCACTTCTCCATCCCCCACTGTCATCCTTACCATCTCAGGCCAGGTGAGGCAGAGGAGGGCTAAGGGTGGGGCCAGCCAATGATGGGACAGGGAGCCGCAGCAGAGGGTTCTAAGAACCGCAGGTTTCCAACAGCCAGTATACGTGCTTATGCAGTACCTCATTAATGAGTTGCTTGAACACTGCAGGTGCTCCCCGTAGTCCAAAAGGCATGACTTTAAACTGGAAGCTACCTAATGGGCAATTGAATGCTGTTTTCCATTCATCACGTTCCTTGATCCGCATGCGGTAGTAATATTCTCTGAGGTCTAGCTTGGTAAACACCTTTCCTTTAGCCATCATGTCCTTCATGAAGGGGGAGGGGTGTTTTCTACGAACACAGTGTTTATTCCGTGGAAATCAACATAAAGACACACACCCCACACCCCTGTCTTTTTTCTCTTTAAAAAGTATGGGGGCTGCGACCTTAGATTTAGTGGGCTGGACAAATCCTCTTGCTAAGTTTGCATCAATGTATTTCCTCAATTCACCCATATTAGGGGTCATGGAATATATTTTTGGCTTAGACAGATTTGCCCCTGGCACAAATTCTATTGCACAGTCCATGGGTCAATGCGGGGTAAGCACATTGCTGAAAACCTTTGCTAAGGCTCTGTACTCTTTGGGTATTCTTTGGCAGCCAGGCAGAGCCTCTGTGGTGGAAGGTATTCCTTCTCTTTGGCTGAGGTTGCGTGGTCCTAAAGAGGGCTGGTTCTTGGTTTGTAGGATGGGGGGCAGAAGTCTAATGCCCACTTTTAGCTTCCAATAAGCCTCCACTGCTTCAGTGACTGCCACAACCAATGGATAGCAGATGCCCTCACAACCATCCTCCGAATGGACCTAGTGGCTCCTTCACTAGGTTGTTCATTGCTCCATCTTCCCTGAGTCTTTGGCTCCTCGGTAGATTGGGGTGCGGCTGGGGCTCAGGACCCCAGACAGCGGCACCACTTTGCGGGAAGCCGCTGGGAATTTTTCTTTTTTAAAAGTGGGCAAAATAATGATGTAACAAATATCCTTTTCTTCACAGTAACAACAACTCTGCCTTCTGCGCCTGGACATACTAGACAATGCAATGAAACCGTGAAATCCTATTGTGTGAATGGTGGAGTGTGCTATTATATTGAAGGCATAAATCAGCTATCATGTAGGTAAGAGAAAATGTTTCTTTTCTCCATTCAAAGGTATCTTTGCAGTTCAATAGAATAAATGTTATATGCAACAGGGCAATGTTGTACTCGTGGGTATTTGGTGATAAAATTAGTTAAGAGGAGATGCTGGCTGTAATGACATGGCTACTGTTTCCATTACTTTCAGTTTTGTTTAGATCAATGCTATAGAAAGTTTCTTTGTTCTGGATCATTAAAAACAATGCCCCACTTTCTCCCTCATCTCCATGTTCTTTCTCCAACTCAAGGATGGCCTGTTTCCCTTTCCTCTACAACCTAGCTACCTGCAATAGCATCATCTTTCTAACAAAAAAACTTCTTATTCATAGACTAATGCCACTCCATAGTTCAGCCCAAATTTATAGACTGTAAAATTTGGATGGGAAATAGATGGAAGCAGAGAGATACTGTACAGAAAGTCCTCAGTCTTTTCTGCCATCCTTTGGCAATCTATATTTTTGCAGTCCAAATTTGGTTGCCCAGTCACTGTCATAATCAAAATAGCACAATAGCACAACAAAGATATCAGCAAAAGACATTGATTTCTTTTATTTCTATTTTTATTTATCTATAATTAACATTAGGAGTTATGAAATAAAACGATGGAAAAATAAGAAACATAATAATTCCAGGTTTTATAGGGAAAAGAACCCTAACCCTAACCCTAACACTTTTTTCTCTAAATTTCTGCTTAGAAATGCACCTAATGTAACTGAAAACAGTAACTAAAGGCAGTAACTGAAAGCTGCCATTTCTTGAGTCTTAAGATAAGTGTTTGAAAAGTAAGTGTACAAATAGGATCCAGGAAACACTTCTTTGCAATTTTCTGTTGCTGAGGATTCTAACAGCAGTTATGGCTGGTGTTCCTAGCTTGTTTTCTAGAGAGATGGTCAAGTAAAAATCTATGGAGAGTGATGCTGAGATCCTCAGCATGTTTCTAGGGGTAGAACTCAAAAATTATTTCCAAATGGGTTTGAATAAAGTTGCATAGTGAATCATTTGGAGGATGTATTTTTCTGGCTGGTCATTTATCAGGATATTTGTCTTCTGGTTGATAGTAATAGCAGAATTATATACCACTTCATAGTGCTTTACAGCCCTCTCCAAGTGGTTTACAGACTCAGCATATTGCCCCCAACAATCTTATATGCCTCTTTTACTAAGATTATTGCTAAACTCACAGTGCATTTTGGATCAGACCATTGTAAAGTATAATGCTATCCTCTTTCACTTTCTTTAAATTGAGTTAGAATAAGACAAAGATTAATATATAAATTATATATTGGATTATTATATATTAATCCAATGAATGGAAATTGTTTTCTGCAACCTTGCCATACACTTTTAAATTGTTTTTTCTTTGACTCATTATATCATTTTGTCAAAATGTCCAGTTTTACTTCTTTTTATTTTCTTATCCCTCACAATTAGTTGATGTGCCCAATTATTGCAAATCTGCCTCGAAAGCTAATGTTATTTACAAAATTAATATTTTCAACAACTTTTTAATGGCAAGATTAGTAAATTGGTTAGTTCTTATGCTTCTCTGAAATGCTAAAAGTCACGGTGCAAATTAAGAAATGACTTTCTATGGTCAACCAGTTTTTAAAGATTTCTTGAATGTGATCTCATTAAATCTTTTTTAATGATGTTTCTGTATGGGAGAAAATGGGCTTGATACAGTTAAAGTAAGTGGAGAGAATATTTGATATACGTTGATAGGAGAAATTATGATATTAAAAAATTACTCAAATACTCTAAAATGAGAGGATCAAAATATTAACCAAGAACAGGTTTCAAAATTGTTTGATAACAATGTCCTGCCAAAAAATGTAGAAGACCATAGGAATATGAAAAATGCTTTGAAAGGTTTGAAGATAATCAACAAGCATTATAAAGGATTCTTAATGCTTTCTGAGGAGCCTATAAAGTTCTGATCTGGCATTATGACATGAAATTAATTCAGCTCAAAGGAATTAAATAAAAAGAATCAAGGCAAAGATCTAACTGAGCCACAAGTAGAGGACATTACATTTAAATGTAATCATTGAAGAATGCATTTTAAAAAATATGTAATATTATGTAATCACTCCTGATTGATATGTTTGACTGTTGCCATAGTTATTGTTCTTCTCAATTGATCATTAACTTTGAGTGTCATACTGAGAAATCATCACTTTACTATATGATTTATAATTAGATAGGACATATAATTAATCCATGACAGATCTCACTGGGCAGCTTACAAAATTGTAAAAACAAGTACAAAACATTAAAATATTAAATATTAAAATAAAGTTTAAATAAATTAAGGATCAACATTATAGGAAATGATGTCATAGGAGGATCAGCTAGTGAGAAGAAATGGAACTAAACAGAACTATTTTTCCAGAACATTTTTTCAAAAGCTGTTATCCTCACTTACCAGAACCACTAATTTGGTAGACTCTTACAGCAGGTAAACTTGATGTTCAGCTTTCATGATTTTCAAGTAACTCCTCATCCTTTTTCATCTGCTGGACTTTTTGCAGAAAACTGATTGACTCCTGCAATTTTAGACTGAATTTCTTCTCATAATCTGATGATATCATTAATTTACCCAGTTGTTATATACATGCTATTTCCTTTAGGTAGCTCCATAGAATTTGAGTGGTTTTGTCACTCACACTCTGTACTGGAATAGAACCATGTCCCTGAAATGCTTTCCAAATTGATCTTGGAAGCAGGTTATATGTGGAAATATGAAAAAGTTTAATGGAAGCGTGAAGATATTTTTGAAAGTAATTTGCTGAGCGTTTATAATTCATTATTAACAATACTAATTTATTTTAATTGATAGAATTGGGTCAAAGAATACCTGATCCTATTTTTGGTACACACCTTTCATTTCATTTTCCTCGACTTCTCTACTTTTATACCGTAGTTGTATTATAAATTTATTACTTTATGTCAGTAGGGGATTTATAGGATTTTAGAGCAGCAGAAGGTGTGCATCTATTTTGTTGAGTCTGAGGTTGTTTTTGAGAGAAATCGCTTTTCTGTTCACTTGCATGTTTATAATAAAATGTTATGAAAAATTCCAGCATTCTCTTCCATAAAAAAAGCTAAGTAATCTTCTGAATTTCTAACCTCCTACCACAACGAAGAAAGGACATTTGGAACACCACAAATATAATATTTTTGTATCTTTTTAAAAAAATAACATTATTTTATTCATTGCTTTCAGTGAAATTTATGAAAGATATAAAACATGGTTGGTTTAATAATGCAAATGTGTTCCATTATCTATTCAATTAACTGTTTTGTTTTGATTCTGGAGCCTGCCAAAGGAATCAATATAGTTCTCATTATCCATCTCTGAAATTCAGGGCAAAATTTGATTGACATGGAACATGCCACAGCTTATGGGTAGCTTTGTCTCTGAAGATTTGCTTTGGTTCCATATCATTCTGCCATGTGAGTTCTCATAGGTCAGCAGAGAATGTCTTAGAGTAAAAAGAAAAGGAAGTAATAGATACTCAAACAAAGATACTCAAATAAAGTTGTGAATGAGCTTTCTTTTGATGTATTTTCTTTTGATGTATTTTCTTTTGAAAATACCTCCAAAGAAAGAATATATTATTTTGTATACTTAATATATTAAGTTAATATACTTAGATCCTTAAAAATATTAGTCAGAGTAGTGAAATGTTTCTATATATTCCCACTGTCATGGAATTTCTATAAAAAAGACATTTTAAGTGGATTTGAACATTGCCTCCAAAGAAGACATTTTCATTAAAAAATTTAATTTTTAATGTAGGATTGCATACCTATATACTGTATGAACTGGGGTAGATTTGTACAAACACTTCCAGAATTGTGAACTACTTTCTGTAACTAGCTACTTCAAGAACCTTGAAATCTTCCCCTAGATTTTTGTGTTTGGTTTATTAAGGAAACACACATTTCCTTTGTCAATATATGTTTCCTTTTCTCTCCCATTCTACTCTTTTGGTTTCTAGAATTTCCTTTTACTTTCTTTATTAAAATATAACTTAAATGTCACCTCTTGGACTATTAGAATTATTTTGTGTTTGATATAATATCAGATATTCGACAGTCATATTTCTGGCTTTTCCTCCTTTTTAGCAAATCGCTTCATATTTATTCCATTGATACAAATTCAACATGTTCTAATAATCTCAGCCGATTGTTATACGAGCCTTTGCCAGAAACAGAGGGAAACATTCATACTTTACTAAAAAAAAAAGGAAAGAAAGAAAAAGAGATTGAGGTTTTTGCCCCAAAATGTTCGCTGTAGTAAGAATTGGGATTGTGTTGGAGGAAAAAGAAGCAACACAAATGAAAGAAAGAGAAGAAACAGATGTGAGCAAACATGCTAACCTATAATTTAAGTTTTAAAAAAGTAGCTATTGAGAATAAATGGGGAAGAAGCATGTTTCTGAATTCATTATGATGGTTCTTCAAGATCACAAAATAATTGATTATTATGTCTATCAAGTGAACACTCACCTGTGCTGATTTTTGAACTACCGGTAGCATCATCTACTTTTTTATTCAGTCTAATTTTCAAGATGGTTATTCCAGGTCTTCAAAAGTGGAAAATAATGGGTGGTTTTAAGATCCCATCCAATTTATTCAGTTAACTATTCACTAAAATACTGTAGATGTTTAGCCCAATCCTCATGTTTTTAACAACTAAGTTTTTGCTTGCAATTTCTCCGATGCTGTAGCAATTGTTTTCTGTAAGGATTCAAAATATGAACTTTCCAAATGAAGCTTTTGAAAATTATTGTTGCTTTTGTTATTTTTTATATGTATATTGCTCTTCCTCCTGAAGGAAAACAGTTCAATAATACCTTTCAAAATGTGTTTGAGACGCCCTAGAATTGAATGTACTATACTGCATCATTCCCCTTCTTGTTTTTATTCTAATGTTTAATCAGAACAAGAATTATAGATCCATTTGTCCAGGTCCAGATTTTGCTTTTTCTTCAAGTAACAGCATTCTGCCAGTATTCTTTATTAATGAATTGAATGATTGGAAAAAAAATGTATGCAAATAAAAAAAGAGTATATTGCTTTTTGTATTTTGCTAATCTTCTTTAGCATATGTAAAATAGAGGATGGATCTGTATTTTATATAAATTTGAAAAACCAAAAACTACTTTAAAAAGCAAATGGCAATAATACCTTGGACCTCATTGGCATCACAATATTTTTGATGGCATGTTTCTCCTGCAGATTTGTCTTCCTGAGAATTTGTAGCAAGGGTATTCGCAGGAGAAACTTTAATTTGGTTGTTCCAAAGCCTAAGATACTTGATACTAACATTCGGTTCTGTCATGGCTGGAATGGATGTAATGAAATCATAAACTTGAATGAAACAATCTGTGGTATAGTTTGCTGAAATATTTGTGAAGCACATAGAAGAAGTGAAGGAATAGTAATTTCATTAAAATTTGGTAGAAAATAAAATCATATTGAAAGTGTTTTAAGTCCTGTGTTTCAAAATATAGCTTGTGAAGTCACTCATTCTTCCCCCAGCAGTTATTCCTGATATATAAGAATATATGTATAACATTTTTCAACTTGCCCAGAAAATTCATTTCAATATGTTACAAAGCCAAAAGTATAATCCTATGCATGATTACCTACACATAAACTATAACTCCAAAAGGGACCTTCTCGTTGGTAAGAATATCCAGGCCTTAAGTGATGTCTGCTGAAAAATGCATGGCACTTCAGTTTTTAGAAAAACAACTTTTCTTGTTCATTTACTTTTGGCCTAGCCACTTCTACAACTATTTATTTGTGATTTTTGTTGCTTGGTCAGATACAATTAGTTTTATGGTTGGTTGATCAGATAGAGTTAGTTATATGAACATATTAAATTGAACTCTACACTTCTGTCAGTATCAACAACATTAGAGAGCTAAGCCAATTTAACCATTTGTCTGAAGTGGTGTAGGGTTTCCTGCTTAAGCAGTGGGTTGGACTAGAAGTCCTCCAAGGTCCTTTCCAACTCTGTTATTCTATTCTATTTTATTCTATGGTACGCTACTCTATGCAATTCTACTCTATTCTTGGCTCAGCTTAATGTAGCTGAAATTGCTAGAAATCTAGCAGTAACCCCCCCCCCCCCCCCAATTTTTAACATGCTGTGATTCCATATCTCCTGTTGGAGTAAACACTTTTCTTTTCATAATTAGTGTCCGCAGGGAGCTAGGGGTACAAATTAGAGATATATGTTATGACACTGCACTGCAAATCTGTGACTTGTTGTATGATTATTTATGTCTGACTTCAGGTCACAAAAAGTTCGAGTTTGAACTGTAACTTTATGAGAATGGTTTTTGCTGGTGGATCTAAAGCAGATCACGGGTGGGGAATAGTTTTTGCTTCTTGTTCTCAATGTTTCTAAGTTAGTGGGAAATGATAAGATAATAAGTAGTTTGAAGATAATCACCTTCAAATTAGGTATAAGGGTTTGAGAAGTGAAAATGGTGGTGGTGTGAAAGTCTCCTGTGCCATTGAGAGCCTCACATATTTCCATTTGTCTATAATGTACTTTGCTTAGTCAGTTGATTATATCAATATGAAATCCAGCTTTAAACAGTGTGAATGGAAAACTGGCAGTTCCAAGAGTGCATTGACCCCCATTAAAAAAAACAGAAAGAACACCGAACACTACTTCATGTTCCATTACTTGCTTTCTGGAAATCAGGTTCCCTTTTTAATTTTAGATTTGAAAGAGTTGCAATTTTCCCAAGTCACACAGCTGAAACAGATTCTGCAAATTGTGGGTGCTTACAAGGTTTATAAACTCAGAAATCATGGAGAGAATAATTGCAGATGGAAAGACGTAGCGAAATCAGCAAAGATTAAATTAAAACATCTTACATGAGAAGCTTAAAATAAAAAAACACAAATCATCACTGTGCACTTTTATTTCTAACCATAGCCTCTAGGATGATGCCAGCCTTGTTCTGTGATTTGTCCCCTTTTCCTCCTCCAGATGTCCAAATGGATTCTTCGGACAGAGATGTTTGGAGAAACTGCCTTTGCGATTGTACATGCCAGATCCTAAGCAAAGTATGTTTGAAGACAAAAATTATACCATCATACTACTTAAAAACCTCCTGGGTACAACACTGCATTTAGAATTGCATAGTGAGGGTGTTCTTTTCAGTTAATATCTTAATTAAGGTTTAGGGAATACAGGTAAGGGACCAGCCAAAAATACACACCTTGAGAAATATTAAAAGGGAACTCAGTTGGCATCAGAAAGGACCTCATTTCAGCCTGTTTGGATGTCATGCTATCCTGTTTCTCTCTTTCTGGTTTTCTTTCTTTCGTTAGGTGTCCGAATGAATTCACAGGGGACCAGTGTCAGAACTTCGCAATGGCCAGCTTTTCCAGTATGTCTCTTTCCACTTCTCTCTTTCGCTGATTGGTCTTAGCTGTATGATATTTTTAAAGCAAAACTTTAATAATTTGGAGCCTTCATTCCTCTGCTGTGTGGTTAAAGAGTTATTAAGTTCAGTTCTACTCTGAACATTACCATAGTGATGTATAATCCAGGCATAATAAACGTTTTAGCAAAGACTGGACCAAGTTTAAAGTAAAGTGGCTGAAATTCTCCTAGATAGCTGAGAAGATTTTGGATGAACAACACAGGTAGGGCTAACCTTGTACTAATACACCTCATATGCTAGACCTGGAGGCACCTTAGAGTAATCTCAAAGATAGATATCCTTATATGGAAGCTTTCTTATTACCATTTCACAGAAACTTATTAAATCAGATTGTTTGTGATGTTAGCTTTTTCCAGAAGGAAACAAATTATTATGAAACAAAGGACTTTTTGTTTGTTCAGAAGCTTATGGCTCAAATGTGTGGCTTGTTCTTACAAAAATGTAGAGAAAGTGAACCTTCCAATTCTCCTCCACCAGTATTTCTTCAGTGGCTTGTACTCTAATTTGATTTCAGTTTCAGACTATCATCTTTACAGAGCAGAGTGAAGACTAGGTTGAAGCATAGTGAATGTCACTGCTGCAATGTTAAACTAAGCACTTACTATATAACCATGCGGATCAGCTGACAAACAGAATTTTACGTACAGTTTTAAAAGATTCCTGCACGTAGTCTAAGTAATCTCTCGCCATCTGGTGAGATTTGGGGTTCTTTTGTATCATAAGCTTTATTGTTTATACATTTCTATCAAATTATGAAACATTATGAAAGTTCCTTATACATTTGTCCCCCACATACTCTATTTTCAATTTAACAATTTTTCCAATTTCATCAAATATAATTAAATCTGAATATGGTACCTTTGTATAAATGCCTAACAAATTGTTATGAGAATCATGATATATGAAATCCCACTCTGTACAAATGTGATTAACTACTTGATAAATATAAGAGTTTGCAATAATAGCAAAAATAACAGTGTTGTCTTCCAAGCCAGGAAGATTTAGAAAAAAAGCACTATTCTAATTTCATTTGAATATTCTGCAGAGTAGTAGTTGCTCTTATAAGCTATTTTAAAGAAAATATTGTGGGAACCTGAGATCTCACTACAACTTTTATCTTCTAGTGCCCTCTTGTGAATAAGGAAGCCTGTAAGCAACAGTCTTCCAAGAGCAACTACGACGCAGCATTCCTGATGTGCCTTCAGCCCTATGAAAGAAAATATATGCTTTAGTGATTTAGAGATGCTGTTTATATATAACGATATAATACAACCTAGTGGGCTGTCTGTATTCATGTTGGAAGCATCTACAAAGCTAACCAAAAGGTGCTTCTGGATTGAAAGGATTTGCCAGTGACAACACTGTTGCCTAGGGGATGCCTGATTGCCAAATGTAGTACAATCTTCAGGAAAGCTCCCTTCATGTGCCCCGACTCAGTGGTATAATATATGTGATTAGGTCCAGAAATGTTAAACAGTGTTGTTAATCAATAGGATTAGTAGGAATTCACACTTTAAATAACAAAAATGTTTCTTAAAAACAGAATCAGCAGCACTGAGTAAAAGCACAAGTAAAAAGCACCATTTCATTCTTACAACTGATATTACTGGATTTTACGCTGCCCAGAATATCGCAAGTTGGGCAACGTATAACATGACATACAGCAATTAAAAGCCAAAATTTAAGCTTTCTCTCCCATCCCATCATTGACAAAAACAAACAATCCACTTGATCAGTGCTATATAGATCAACTTCATATGGATGAAACCATATTCAGTGAATGGAAACTAATCAACGAAAAACTAATCTAGAACTGTGTAGACATTTTCTGACAATGAGAACAATTAATCAGTGGAATGGCTTGCCTCCAGAAGTTATGGGTGCTCAAATACTGGAGGTTTTTAAGAGGATATGGACAACCATTTGTCTGAAATGGTATACAATCTCATGCTTGAGCAGAGGGTAGGACCAGAAAACCTTCCAAGATCCCTTCCAACTCTATTATTCTGTTATATCAAGACAGAATCCCCAAGCCTGCTGACAGAAGTATGTCTACAGGGCCTTTTGAAAAAGTAAAAAGTTGGGGACCAGTTTTATCTGTGGGGGAATGATGTTTCTTTGCAGTGAGACTCATAAAGCAAGCTTCACATACTGTTTTCAGCCGAAGAGCCAAATCAATGTCCATCCATTGTTGACCATCCGTGGAGGTTTTCACATTATCCAGTCTTAGAAATTTCCCTTGGACAGACTAATAAGTCTCTTTAGAATATGTATTCATAAAAAGGAAAATTGGGCATCTATCAATTGGGGTGGGGGGGAACCAAATAGAATAAAAATTTTTTTTTTATCAAACTGGATTGGCTGTACAAATAATTTCCGAATATTGTACACTATGTTGAAGATAGAATGTTACTTTTTTCTCTGTATAAATTGTTATGGAATTAAAGAACAGTAGTCCTTGGGATAATTGCACCTTGAGAACTGAGATCCAGCTCATAATTCTCCTATGTTAAGGGCAGAAAATTAGAACTAGATCTAAAAATTAATAAAGGGCAATGGAAGGTAAATTTTAAGTAAATTAACCTAAAAGGTAAATTGTAATTGGCCTGTTCTATTTGAGTCTGTAGAATCTGTTTACTGTATACATGATTTAAAAGTTAAGGAAACTTTCCTAACATAATTTCCAAAATTGATATATGAATAAATTTATAAACAATTTTAATCATATTTTGGAAAAAAAACAATATAAGATTTCTTTTACAACCCCCGGTATGCCCAAATATGGGAGGAAGATCACTACTTCCATTCTCTGTCCT